TTGCCGGCGAATATTGTGGTACAACTGAACAAACTAAGTGGGTTCAAGAAGTACAAGGTATCTGACATCATGTTCCTCGACCGCCGCCGCGGGTCAACGGTAGGGACGGAAGATTCCTTCTTCGAAATGGTGTCTCTACGGCCAAATGGTGTCTACACGAAGGCGCAGCTCACTAAAGAGCTGGAAACCCTAGCTACCAGTGGAATGTTCGAGAAAGTTGATCTAGATGCAAAAACAAACCCTGATGGAACAGTCGGGGTTACGATATCCTTTTTAGAAAGCACGTGGCAGTCAGCTGATAGATTTAGGTGTATCAATGTGGGCCTAATGCCACAGTCTAAGCCTATTGAAATGGATCCAGACATGACTGAGAAGGAGAAATTGGAGTATTACAGGAGCCAGGAGAAGGATTATAGGAGGAGGATTGAAAGGTCAAGGCCGTGTTTGTTGCCGCCACCCGTGCAAAGGGAGATTTTGCAGATGTTGAGGGAGCAAGGGGCAGTTAGTGCTAGGTTGTTGCAGAAGATTAGGGATAGAGTGCAGCAGTGGTATCATGAGAATGGTTACGCATGCGCCCAAGTTGTGAATTTTGGGAATTTGAATACGAAGGAGGTGGTTTGTGAGGTGGTGGAAGGGGATATTACTCAAATGGTTGTTCAGTTTCAGGATAAGCTGGGAAATGTATGTGAGGGAAACACTCAATATCCGGTTGTCCGGAGAGAATTGCCTAGGCAGGTAAAACATACAAATTCAATCCATTAATAGTCCTATATCCCAAATTAGGTACTGTCATCAATATGAATCCTGTTATGTTCTATTTCTTTCAAATAGTTTAGGCAAAAAAGGGGTTTTGCAAAATTGACCCTCACTAAATCTCCGTTTATCCTTGCATGGACTTGCAAAATGAAGAAAAGAACTGTTCTTTCTGAAATACTAGAGATTTTGTTCAATTTAATTGGCTAGCAGAAAATGAATAAAAGAAACTGTTCTTTCTGAAAATGCTGCGGACTTCGGTTTCTATGTACAATTTGATTGGTGTTGTTGTACATAGAGAGGAAAGGATTGTTTTTAAGTTTTCAGACCTGAATGAGAGTCTACCTACGCGAGTTATGCTTCCAAGTTATTGGTACTCTTTTTTCGATTAATGCCAGTTTTGTTTGGTTAGCTTCACTACTCAAGCATGGGTTTGATGGGTCATACAGAAGCGATGTTTTAAGTATCCTGTTGAATTTCATAATTCTGCTGATTTGTAGCATGCTTACTGGTCCTACATCTTTTGGTGGTTCTTTTTCAATACTGTGGCATCGCTTGCCACAGAGAGATCTGATTATCACAATTTGTTTTTTGTACATCAATGTAACATTGTATGCGTATATTTCAATTCTTGTATTTTATACATTTTCATGCATTGAAGTCTACAATTTGGGACTAACATGGCTCTCAAATGTGTGTGATACTTCAGCTTCGTCAAGGACAAGTTTTCAACATTGAAGCTGGAAAACAGGCTTTGAGAAATATAAATTCTCTAGCTCTCTTCTCTAATATTGAAGTCAACCCTCGCCCAGATGAAAAGAATGAGGGAGGGATAATTGTTGAAATTAAGCTCAAGGAATTGGAACAGAAGTCAGCTGAAGTCAGTACTGAATGGAGCATCGTCCCTGGACGTGGAGGTCGCCCCACATTGGTACACCATTAAACATCTCAACTGCATGGTTTTGATATAGATTACAACTGTTAGCTCACTGCTAAATGCCTTCCTTTTCTGTATTATGGCATTTAGGCTTCAATTCAACCTGGTGGAACTGTTTCCTTTGAGCATCGGAATCTTAAGGGGCTCAATCGGTCAATTCTTGGTTCTGTGACTACCAGTAACTTCCTCAATCCTCAGGTGATTGTTTTTTTTATTTTATTGCTGATGCTTTTTTTTAATCGTTTTTTCCAGTGGCTTAAACCTTAGCAACAATCCCTGTCTAATTTGTTTTACAGGATGATCTTGCTTTTAAGTTAGAGTATGTTCATCCGTATTTAGATGGTGTTTACAATTCGCGAAACCGCACGCTCAAAGCTAGCTGCTTCAACAGCAGAAAGTTGAGTCCTGTCTTTACTGGGGGCCCTGGAGTAGATGAAGTCCCTCCTATATGGGTTGATCGTGCTGGACTTAAAGCCAACATTACTGAGGTAGGCCAATACTGCTATAAGTGTGGTGCATCTGCCTAGCAGGTCTCTATTATATAGTGTTTTTCGGCTTTGCGGGAACCTTTGTAGCATTTGTTGATTAATAATAAAATTCAAATTTTAAAAAAAATGTCTCCTAGGTACGTATATCACTTATTAAATCTAAAGAAAGTTTGTAGATATGACATCGTAGAGCTGTCTGTTTGGGACTTGTAAGAAGTTCATGTATATTGTACTAATTACGCAATTTGACGCTTAACCGTATATTTGCTGCAGAATTTCACTCGTCAGAGTAAATTCACCTACGGACTAGTGATGGAAGAGATAACAACACGCGATGAAAGCAGCCATATTTCTTCTCGTGGACAGAGAGTATTGCCTAGTGGTGGAATTAGTGCAGATGGACCTCCCACAACGCTTAGTGAAACTGGCATTGACCGCATGGCATTTTTACAAGCTAACATCACACGAGATAACACCAAATTCATAAATGGGACAATTGTTGGTGAGAGGAATGTCTTCCAGGTGAGATTAGCTTTTTGTATTCTTTTTGGTTTTTACTCAATTCATTTTCTTTTGCAAATCAAAGTGGAAGTAGCTTTTGGTCTTTACTAATCAAAAATTACCACATTAACTACTGCCAGTCCTATTTTAAAATACTGCCAGTCTTATATTTCTTTCATCTGAGGGCAACTCATTTGTTCCTCATGAAGCAAGTTTTCAACGTTTATCAATTGACTGCTACCCATGCTCTAGATTTTTATACTTTTTTACCGTTGTAGCTACTCTGATAAATTCTCTCATTTGTTGTGAAGAATGTATGAGACATGAATGGTGTTTTCTGGATCTAATTATTGGTTAAATTTCTTTTATGGACTCTTGTCTAATATTTAATATTGTGTCACAGGTTGATCAAGGACTTGGAATTGGCAGTAAGTTCCCATTCTTTAACCGCCACCAGCTGACAATGACCCGATTTGTTCAGCTGAAGCAAGTAGAAGAAGGTGTTGGTAAGGCTCCACCACCTGTCCTAGTCCTCCATGGCCACTATGGTGGATGTGTTGGAGACCTTCCCAGTTATGATGCTTTTACACTTGGGGGACCTTATTCAGTGAGGGGCTACAATATGGGAGAGATTGGTGCAGCTAGAAATATACTGGAGGTATGAATGGTTTCTCTGTCAAAGCTATGATGTGTACTTATTTCTCTCATTTTTTCTTGAAGTGCCACTTGGCAATAGCTAGACGATTGCTTTTGCAAAATTTATGTCTGATAAATGTCTTTTATCTAATGTATTGATGCTACTTTCAGCTGGCCGCTGAACTGCGGATACCTGTGAGAAACACACATGTTTATGCATTTGCAGAACATGGAAATGATCTTGGGAGTTCAAAAGATGTCAAAGGAAACCCAACAGAGGTTTATAGGCGGATGGGTCATGGCTCCTCGTATGGAGTTGGTGTGAAACTAGGTTTAGTACGAGCAGAATATGCTGTTGACCACAATTCTGGGACTGGAGCAATATTCTTCCGTTTTGGAGAGAGATTCTAGTTTCAGATTTTCTTGGCCAGATTCTTTTTTTGCAGCTAGTCAGACCTATGAGTTAAGAACTGCACGGTTCTGAGTTTGAACTTCAGTAAAGTTTTAAATGTTGTTTGCTAAAAGATCGGCTATAATTGTGGTTGGAACCTTTTGAAAGTGAGTATTCTGTAGCTTTTTTGCTCGTGTAAGCAAAATATGTTAATATAGTAATTTGTGCATTTTCTTTCTTCTCATGTTTTTTTCCTACTGGGGATGGTTTGAGATAACTATATTTGTCTGATCTTGTCTTCTGAATGCATATGAGTTCTTTTTTCAAACACATTTTGACGGGGTAAATGGAATTTGGAGTTGTTCTGTGAATTAGTTTCGTTTCTTAAATCTTCAACTCATATCGTGTTCATTTTGCTAGATTATTTTCAAGAGGTGAAATATATTTTCAATACTTGAGAACAATATGTGAAATACTTTCAATACCTTTCCAAGAACGAAGGGTTCCCTAGTTTCAGCGGACCTGAGACTAAATTGGAAGGATGCCACAATATAACCAACAGATTATTTATACGAATCTAATTGAGTAAGATACTATGGAGTCCATAACGAAGGCATTTAATCAGTCAGGTCACTATTTCCATCCCATATGCTGATTTTTTGTAGTCCGAGAACACCGGGAAAAGCAGGACTATTATAGGCAGTTAATCCAGTGATACTCATTCCACAAGTTAAGAAGTCACAACCAAGTGATGCAAGGCAACTGTGTCCTACCTCTAAGACGTAATAGTGATAACTATCAATTCACAACCGACAACCAGAGGCAAAGCAGAAGAATATCGACCTTTACAAAATTGGGACATCTGATGGTCGTACTTATCAGACAATCAATCTTAAGCATAGAAAATTATTACTCCACTCTTTATTGTGAATGATATATTGACTTGTTCCAATTTCTACGTGTTAGGTTCGTATGTTTCTTTGCTTTATAAGCTCCTGTAAAACACACAGATGATAATACCTGTAATCAAGTCCTACCTTACAGTTTCAGAAGGCTAGAGTATATCAGTATATGCATGTGGACACTGAAGCGATTAAGAAACCAATGGCTAAAGAAGCACGCCACTTGTATCTTAAAACAATCTGTCTTTAAAGGATGGAATCCATTATGTAGCAGCACAAGTATAACTTGTAGTCATACTTCATCATGTGGAGCATATGTGAGAAGCAAATCTAAATATTCATGATAGAAAAACCATTAAGAACGCAAAACACGTATTGGCTCAGCCACCAAATAACCAAAATATAGAAATCCCTTATGCATCAAAGGGGAATGACTTTATCTTCTAACAAGAAAATGAAACACAGGGAGGGGCAGTATATCTTCACACATAGCAGAGAAGAAATTTCTTCTCCGCCATTCTTGAGTATGCGTTTGGAGCTATTGACTTCCCCACGTTTTCTGAAACTGCAATACCAATCCGGAATGGAATACTGCTTCATCCCATAATCTCCTTACCCTCTATATCCAACAAAAGCTGGAAACCTTGATGCTCAATAGCGAAAATTAAGCAGACATAGGGAGATAGAAACCACACCTCACCAGAAACACAATGTCAAGTCGGTGTAGTCTAATAGAGGATTTACTTGCCTCCAATCATCCAGAATTTTTTTGTCTATAGTATTCATTAAGGAACAAATAAAGATCCAGATGGAGCTGTGCAGGGAAAGGATCAGTAATAATGGAAGGTTCCAAGCAGAATAAATGGAGGTACCAGTGCTCTCATGGAACTGTGAACAACATGATGCACATCATCAATAGTTCTCAAAGATTAATCCCATATTGTTTTAGTAGCACAGTAGATGAGCAGAGAAATCTATGCAACAATATGAAGATGAGATGTACAATTACTTAATTCAACTAGACAATATAAGAGTTTTAGTTACTGGATCCTCCCAAAGATTGTTGTATCATGTTCGTCCTATTAGCTTAACTGCAGCAAATTATTTAGGCGAATTAAGAAACTATATGCCAGAACCACCTCCAATGATATGTAACAACAAGAAGTGATTCCAGTTACTACTGAATTTAAAGCAAGCACAAAACTTAGGAGCTATACACAAAATATGGAGCAATTAATTGATTTCTTATAGAAAGAGATGAAAAGAAAAGAAGAGATTAGGCCCATAAAGTAGGGAGAGAAGGATAAGATTCAAATACCCAATATGTAGGGTCTAGTGACAAAGTTTTAGGTATATTACTGAGTATGGATCATCGTGGAAACGAAGGTTCAATACGACCACTACACAACATTACACCATTTATCCATGCCAAAGAAACATTAAGCCATTTATCATTCAAAAGGACAGGTTGACGTTATATTAACAATTTGCTGCTGCTGGATGAAACAGATTTGAGGGAAAAGACCACTAAAATGCATCGCAAGGATGGATTGAACCAAATGTCTTTCTGCTATCTAACTCAAATTTGTCCCAGATTTTTCCAGAGTACACCTCACGATATCTCCCATGATTTTCCATGCTCAAAAGACACCTGGCAAGTCTGCACTACACATGAAGTTACATAGAGAACCTATTAGTAAATGTTCGAAAAGACATAAGTACATGTAAGTAGGGATGCCACCTAACATTTTCAGTATGCATAGAATGCTGAAACTGGTCTGTGAAAGCATCTTTGTTTGTTCAGTAATCCTAGATAAAGGTTTATCATGAATCAACGGAGCTCTCCTATTTACCTGTCCCTCCATCTTAGTTTGCATAATGCATGACAACGAAGTTACTTCTAATATTTTACTTATTGCAGCTGTAGAACAGGCATATTCACCAACACGATCTGCACTGGGCAATAATCCTTCATATGAAGTTTTGACTGATGCCATTTTGCCCAGTCTAACTTCCATATAAAATGTCCAATGTCCCAAACACTCTTCCAGTTTACTTCTAGTTCTAGAGCCAAAAATGAAATCTGCTAGATATTGTAGCTTTAAAACCCAATAATAAAATTTACAAGCTAATTTAAAGTTTTTAGCTTTATTAAGTTTCACAACCAAGTATACTAAACAATCACAAACGTGGACAGCACTCAAGATCTATGAACTATGAGTAACGGGTCAATCCTATGTTGTTCCCCCACTTCCATAAAAATCACGAATTCACCCCCAAGTTGTATATGAACACAAACATATAGACTATGCTACCGATAATACAGGAGGAAAAAGCAAATAACATACATTACAATGAGTTCTTCTGTTAGATATATTACCTCAGCTAGTACAACTACTTATCATTAGAAGCAACAGGATGATAGTAACCAAAATTATTCCCAGACCATTCCCGCTGTTGTTGCATCATACTATACTGATGATGAAATCCAACTGATGGTCCACCCCCATACCCAACAGGCATGCCTCCGTTGGCCATTCCAATCATCGGCATCTGCACCATTTGCGGCGGGTAAGGCATGTGAGTCGGCATTCCCACGTGGCCATTAGTATTACGAAGGTGATGACCACTCTCACCGGACTCACGCAAACTCTGCTGCGCCGGCGTGGAATTAAGCAAATGATCAGAAGAAGAAGGCCCCTCATTTCCCTGTCTCTTCATATACAATCTATACTTCTGTAAATGACTCGCCACGTTCTCGCGCGTCAGTCCTTCCACATTCATAAGTTGCATAATCGTCTTCGGCACAGCGTTTTTGATACCTAAGTGGGCCACCACTTCAATAAAACGCTTGTGTAACTGCGGCGTCCAAACAAGCCTTGCCCGCTTATTCAGCGTCTTATTAGCCGACGAATCATCCGCACAATTTTCGTTACACAGAGCAGAATCAATCTCTTCAGTGCCTCCGGATTCAACCCTCCGGAGCTTCCTCGGGTCGTATCCCTCTCTCGTTAGATCCGTTTCGTCTTTTTCAGTAACAGTCGTCTCCTCATTGAACGGCTTGAAGTTTAAGTTATTCATTGAAGACATATCTTGTGAGTGCCATCTCTGGAGAGAAGAAAAAGTATTCTGCGAAGCGCGATTTACATCAGCCATGGACTTTGAGGATTCCGGCGAGATTCTGAACGCAGAAGCAAGTTCGGCCGGAATCAACTGCAGAGTCAACGGCGTGAGATCGTCGGCGCCGGGAAGTCCAACCTCCCACAAAACTCTGTCATCATTATTACCACCGCTAGAATCGTACTCAGAAAGCTTCAATTCTTCACCCATGGTAGCTCGTTACAGAAAAGTTCTTCAACTGGACAAAATTCACACTCTTAGGGTTCTTTCTTAGTTCCCGTTAATACAAGTTAAATTAAATCTTCTGCGGTTACAGTTTCGAGGTGGGACAGAGAAGCAGATACCGATTTGATGAAGATATTCCGAAGGATTTCAAAGGGTTATTGTTGAATGAAAGAAAATGGAGGAGAGGAAGATAGAGGAAGTGGGAAAGGGATCGGTGGAGGAAAATGGAAATAAACAGAAAATTGGGCAAAAGGTGGATAAGCGTGAAAAAGGTACAACATCTGATTGCCAGCGTGGATGTCCTGGCGAGATATTTTTCGATCTTTTTGTGTCTGGAGACTGGATTTAGTTTTAATTCATTTTCTTTATAAAATAAATTGAAAATTAGTACTATCATAGTGGTATTTTTAGTTTTATTGGAATACAAGTTTTGAATTAATTTTAATTCTTAGAGAGTTAAATCATTCTAACTTTAAATAGAATCGTCTTTGTATTTCAACCAAACATGTTTAGATTCTTGTTTCGATTTTAAAAACGTTTTAAATCAAGGACCGTTTTAACTGTTTCTTTCACGTATGAAGGAATTATTATTATTAAGAAAGGAAAAAAGTGGTGATTCCATTGAATTAATTTTTTAGAAATACTAGTATGTTTAACATACTAAGTTATTACTCCTGAGATTTTAATCAATAATCTTCATTTTGATATCGAGGCGGAAAGTATAATTCTCATGGGTATCTGATGAAATGAAATATCTTTTCATTCTAATTCTATTAGTGGAGTTTGATTGGTTTAATTAGCGGATATATTTGAGTTTTGAAATAATTTAGCTCTCTTAGTTTCTAATATTAGAAAAATTGGATATAAACTTCAAGAAATACGAAACAATCAAATAGAAGAACTTAACTGAAAGTAAGGTAAAGTACAATCAATGATTAAGTGGAAGTAGCACTAGCATAAGCTTCTCTGTTGACGTCGTGGTGCTCAGCTCAAGGTACAATAGATAACCTTATTTATTAGAGTGGAAACAGAAGTGTGAATTATTTTGACAATTTCTTGAACAATATGATTACTTCTGGTTTTACCTAATATTTTCTGTCATTATTTTGAACAAACCTAGTTTTACTAATTTCTTGATGCCGTCCACAATATTGAAACCGTTATAACTAGCGAAACTAATTTAAAACATATACTAGAAAAACTATCTTTGAGTCAATAAGAGGCCTAATCTATAAGGACGTGTTTGGTACGGCCACTTGGATACTAATATTCAGCTTGGTCATTTCGAACCTATCCTTAGTAGGACATTGGAAATTTATGCTTGCTTAGCACGACCACTTAAAACCTACCAATACTCACCACGCCACCTGGAACCTATCCATGCTCATAATACCACTTGGAACCTACCAATATTCAGTCCATCCGTTGTTGGGTCAACACACATGCTAGTATACGCGGTCGATAAATAATAAAATGATAAGAAAGTATCGTTTTCACGAGAATTTATGATCAACTACTGTCTAATCTAAACTAGTTACAAGTTATTCGTTCAAGTGGTTTTGAGGAAGATTATTGTGATTTTTACTAAACTAAAATTATTACAAAAACTACAAGTAATCAAGAGAACAAGAACGCATACAAAGCAAACAAATACTTTAAAACAAATTCAATGAGATGTGGATATTCCGGAGTTATGAGAATTAAACCTATCCTATTAAGTTTTTCGGTTGATTCAACTACTTGATTTATCTGATTTATTGATTAACATGGTTTATTATGCTCACGAGGTTCTTTTGATGCCTCGCTCGCCTATTCATACGTCTACAGAGTAAGAGTTAACTAGAATGCATGTATATCTTATGAAATAATAACCAAGCAAGGAAACTAGAATATGTCTATCCTAATTGTGAATCTATTCTTTGATGCCCGGATTCAAGAACTTATTATATTCAATCCTATATGCAATCTATAGTTCCCACTTTCGAGTTCAACTAAGATTTGTAAATAGTATTCTATTGTTAGCAACGCAATAGAATAATTAAGCACAAGATTGAATAAACAAATCAATATGATTAAATCAAGTAATATCAACAATTGTCAAACACCAATAGTCAAGAACAACCCATAGCCCAAGAACAAGAGGGGTTTTAGCATCATATGAGCAATCAAACTATTGTTTTGAATCATAATAACTACAAATACGAGATTAAGGAGGGAAGATGAGATGATTCCGTGCTTTTTTGTGTTCCTTAGCTCTTCTTTCCTTCAAAATACGTCCAACCCCTTCTTAGACATGTTTAGGGGGTATTTATAGGTTAGAGTCAAAGTCTCCAGGTTCAAACTCTACAAGGAAACACTTTTCTCTCGGACAGGGGGACCTGGATAAAGGCTTTGGACTAGGGCGTGCTTATTTTCTCGCGAGGCCAGGTGTGGGGCGAGCTTGACCTTGCCTCTGGCCAGGTGGGGAGAGCTCTAGGGCGAGATGGACCTCGCCTCTTGCCAAGTGGGGCGAGGTTTGGGGCCTGGTTCCCTCCTCACTTTGAGCCGATTCACCTTCCGTGCTCTTTTCTTGTACTTTCAACATTATTTTGTGCAACTTTCATCCCCCTTCATATTTAAATGATCCTACACATAAAACCAAATCAATTAAGCTCAAACTTCGCACAATTTATCATTAAAATAACAAAATATAAGGTAAGAAATATACTAAAAATATAAAATTATAAGCAAACATCATCACCCCTCACTTAAACGTTTCTCGTCCTCGAGTCAATCAATAATTCATTCTACCCTTGATCACTCTACAACTTAGCACATTTAAAGCACACTACACCTATGATCTTGGTTGATAACAATAATTAAGCCGCATATGCATTCAACACACACTTCTCATAACTCATGCCATACTTCAAAATATTCAAAATATAGACAACATGTTTATAACAGTCCTAGCCTCAAGAACCGACCCAATACCACAATACACTCAAGGCGTGAACACTCAACATCATAGACAAGTTTAATAAGGTAACCTAGTCATCGTGAAACCATGTGCCCTCACAATAAAATTAAAGAGACTAATCAGTCCACACATTCGAATCTCACTCTCAAATATAGTTTAAGGACTCACACATAATCACTCACCTTCACAAAAAAGTCACATCCATGAAAACAATATCATAGCCTTGTCCATTATGTAAACCATTACTAATATAGGCTCGCTCAGTCTAATCAATTAGGACTTTTTCATGGTTGTAATATGGGCTAAGGGACAAGTAGGATATATTTAGAAATAGTGACTAACCCTCCTAAGCACTTCAACATATCATATAATTATCTTTATGTGCATTTTCTTCAACCAAACTTCAATTTCACAAACAAGATCACCCCCAAAATATTCCCTCTTTCTATAAGCACTATTTTAATTCTAGCAAGGACAATATCTAGTTTGTCACGATCCAAAATCTCAACCTGTCGTGATGGCGCCTAACACATCTACTAGGCAAGCCGACAATCACATATCAACTAAGCATTTGGAATTAGAACATGATTCAATAAGCTTAATAGCAGAAAAATCTCATAGATAATTGATAAAAATAACTGTAACTCAACTACATCCATCCCAAAATCCTGATGTCACATAGTACATGAGCTACTAAGTGCCAACATAGTTTGAAACCTCAGTACAATTGTCTGAAAACAATAGAACAATACTGAATAAAATGAAAAGAAGGAGAGTCAAGGTCTGCAGGCATCATGGCATCTACCTCAAGGTCTCCAAACAGGTACTAGCACCACTCTAGCAATCACCGTGTCCAGATGTACTTGGATCTGTACACGAAGTGCAAAGTGTAGTGTGAGTACAACCAACCCAATATACTCAATAAGTAATAGGACTAACCTTGGGCTGAAAGCATTGAAGAGCCCAGAAGGATACAATCATAACCAAAATAATGACAATAGATATAATAAAGAAAATGAAAATAATAACCCAGAGAAACTTCCATATTCAGCTCGTTCACAGTACATAAATTTAGGCATGCTTTCAAGTTCAACAATTTAAGCCCAACACTGATAACATATGCCAAGTACAGCCAACATGAGAAATGTTACATCTCAATGCCTACATGTCAAATATGCAAGTCAAATGTAATGTATCACAGTGGTAATCCCAGGTACTCACACTTTCAGAGTACTCAATCTGCCTATCTCAAATCTCCACCCATCACACACAATCACTCAGCACTGTACGGATGCCTGGCATCAATGCCCCTCACCAAAGCACGTGTATATAAATCACTGTGCCTACGCTCATTACTAGTATGTCAGACTCCAGAGGGGCAGATCCTGCCCAAACGCTAATATAAAGCCTATAAGGCCTGCTGTGGTGTGCAACCCGATCCTTAATAATAAATAAACCAATAAGGTTTGCTGCGGCATACAGTCCGATCCACAATAACACTCACAAATCCGGTTCTCAGGCCCAACTCAGTCATCAATCCTTTCAGGCTCACGAGCTCACAAGTCTCATACTACTCAGCCTAAACAATGATAACATGATATAATAGTAAATGACAACAAAGACTAAGATATGATATGCAAATGAATAAACATGACTGAGTGCATAATTTCAGTTAAGAAAATAACTCAACAGTAGAAATAACCTCAGTGGGTCCCAAAAGAATAAGCACATAGCCTAAACATGATTTCTAATATGAATCACAGCTCAATTACTCTAACACGTAGGAATTATACGGATAAAACAAGACTAGATAACTACATAGCACCACAGAATCAGCCGAGTCATAATTTTCACGGTGCACGCCCACACGCCCATCACCTAGCATGTGCGTCACCCCAACACTAACTATATAACACGTATTCCAGGATTTCATACCCTCAGTACCAAGTTTAGAAGTGTTACTTACCTCAAAGTGCACAGCTCAATGCTCCAACAAACCCTTACCTCGCGAATCGGCCTCTGAATGACCCGAATCTAGCCACAAACAACTTAATATAATCAATACAAGCTATAGGGATTGATCCCATACGATAAAGCTAAGTTCTTTACCCAAATTTAAAAGGTCAACCCAAAAAGTCAACCCCGGTCCCACGCCTCGGAACCCGACAAAATTTATAAAATCCGAACACTCATTTAATAACGAGTCCTACCATATCAAAATTATTCAATTCCAACCATAAATTGACCCTCAGATCCCTAAATCTTACTCTCCAATATTAATGCCCCGAATTTTACCTCAAAAACACAT